CTGTCTGGCCGCCCTGCCTTCTGGAGGTGCCCTCGGGCCTCCCGTCACCATCACAGAGCTGTGCGCGCCCCAGAAGTGAACGGCCACGGCCGTGGACCTTCTCCCCCAGCTGATGGCGCCTGTGCACCGTGGGCCGAGCTGTGCACGGCCACTGGACATGCTGCAGCCCGACTCGAGTCCCCGACCAGTGAGGTCCCCGAGCCCCGGCTGACGCCCCGTGGGAAGCAGACCGCGCCCGGACACCGGGAGGCCGTGTCGCCCGCCCCAGGGCCTGGGGGCCCGGCTGCCTGCGTGTTCTGGGGGGCTGGGTGGTGCTTTGTGTTCAGGGAGGCCCGAGTGTCCGCGGGGATCACGTCTTCGGGAAGGCAGTGAGCCCCCGCAGAACTGACCCCCCGTCACCCCCCGCAGCTCCCGCTGCTAAAGACCCACGTGTTTGCTCCTACTCTGTGGAACTAGCAAGTTCTCACGGGTTTGCTTTCCAGAAAGCATCAGGGCCCCTGGCTCTGGAGGGGCCCATCCCCCCCCCGGGTGTGGGCCCACGACGCCTCCTGACCACTGTCCGGGCTCGGATGCGACACCTCCGATGTCCAGGCAGCTCTTCCCAAGGCCCCTGGGCTGTGGCAGGATGTGGGCTGGCGCTGCATGTCGGCCTGCCCCTTGGCTTCTGTCCTTAAGTTTTCTCATGGCTGACAGGGGGCGTCCCTGCTCCCTCAGGAGGACCTGCACACCTGGACGCGCCAGCATGGCGGGGTGCTGCTCCCCGCTTCTGTCCCCCAGCGCCTCACCTTCACGGGAAGGGGCTTTCCGGCAGGTTCACCGACTGGTATAACCCTGAAAGGACACAGTTGAGAACAGGCCTCCCAGCCTGCCTCCAGCCCAAGGACCCAGAGCCAGCACCCCCAGCTGCACATTTCAGTATCTTAAAACGGGAACCGCTCAGTGTATCCAAATGATTTCCTTAAATGAAAGAAAATCCCGTTAAAGAGTCTGCCGGGGGGAGCCTCAGGAAATGTGGAGGTACTCGGGCCTCAGAGTCACTGTGTCCGATGCACGCAAGGTGACGGAGCCGGGCGCCCGCGGGGCCTTGGGAAGTCACCGAGTTCACCTTGCTGCGATGGGGAGAAGGCGAGGCAGGACAGCTCTGCACCTAACCCCCGGTGAGCGCGAAGCTCCCCAGCTTTGGCTTCGCAGCTGCGGCCTTTGCAAGGGCTCCAGAGCAGGAGGGGCCGTCCTGCCAGGCCGGAAGGCCGAGGCAGGTGTGTCCGGAGGGTGGGACGTGTCAAACACGGCACTCCTGGGCTCCATCCCCACCTGCTCAACACGGGTTGAAAGCGCCTGGGCACAGGTGTGCGGGCGCGCACGTCGGCACCCAGTGCCCGAGTCTGCACCCCGCGCCAGGCAGCCGGGGCCCTCCCTGGCAATACACCGTCACCCCAGCGCTAAGAACGGGAGGCCGCCACTGCCCTCGTGTGTACAATGAGCTCTCGGAAGCCCGGGCCACACGGGACACGCCAGAAGGCCCTGGATTCTCGCTGCCTCCCGTTTTTGCGGAGCTTTATGGAGGCGCCATCCCACCTGCTGTGAGGGCCCTAACCCTCAGGCGATCTAAAGCGCAATCGCCGTGAGCCCCCCGTCCCGTGCTAGTTCGATCCCCCACCAGGGAGGGACCCCCAGGGCGCGGCAGACCCCTCCTGTCTCCCCGCTGCTCCCCTCAGCAGTGGACTGCATCCACCTGCCTGCTCTGCTCCCCACTCTGTCTCTGGGGAGTCTTCTCACCCTCCACACCTCTGGCCTGCACCCCAGTTCTTGTCTGCATCAGTAAATAGATGTTAAGAAAAGGAAAAAAGGGGGACCCGGTGCTGTGATAGGCGGGACAACTCGTCTACCCTGGCCTTGGACTAAGGGGTGATCGACACCCTGACACTCAGGACCCAGTGGGGGGCCACGACCAGGTCACTGGCCTGGGGCAGGGACAGGCCCCTGGCCCACGGCCACCACGCGTCTGCTGTAACGCAAACGTGGCAGTCGCGCCTTGACGCAGTCGGGGGTTTGATCTTTAAAACTGGCGGCGTCCGACCTCCCTCCTCACCCTGGGTTAGGGTCCGCTTCTGGGAAGCAGCCGTTGCCACA